TCTAAGTGATTCGAAGATGGGGTGTTATTGATTGAGAAACTTGAGGGGTGATTGAAAATTCTCTGGTTATAGAGGGAGATAGTTATGTGGGTATCTATATATATGTTCTGGTATGTTGAAGAACAAACCAATAAATATGTGTGTTATGGTTGTTGGAGAGAGAGAGAGAGAGAGAGAGCCTTTTACATATTAAATAATTATTTTTAATTTTTTCTTTAAAAAAATAAAAGAAAACATCATAAATGGTCCATATGGTAGTGAAATGATGAAAATACTCTTCAGTAAACGGACAAAACTTAATGGGGTTAACAATAACAACAAATTGTAAAAAGTTTTGAAAGCACATGGACTATCTATGAGGTTTTTAAACTACGGAGACTAAACTTCAGATTTTGGGAAGCTACAGAGACCATTTATGATGTTTTTTTATTGTTATTTTAAAAATTGATTTGATTAGATGTTTCTTTAATGATCTAAATGAAAAATATAATATATGAATATTACGAACGGAAATATAACACATAGATAGTCGGAACAGAAAAACAACACAACAATACACACTGATAGTCTAAATGAAAATAAAAATAACACAAAAATAATCCAAAACAAAAAGAATATATTTTTAGTGTTAACAACAACAACAACAACAACAACAACAACAACAATAACAATAATAATAATAATAATAATAATAACATACTCATTAAAAATAATAAAAACAAAAAAAAATTATAAAAAAATTAGAAAAATAGTTCATACGGAAAAATACTATTATGTATTTACTAAAAATATTAAAAACAAAATACATTTAAAAAAAAAAAGAAAAAAAAAAAAGAAAAGAAAAAGAAAAAGGATAAGAATGTAATTTGATGATGCATAAAAAAAAGACAAAAATGGGGTCGGAAGATAATTTGGGGTAGCATAATAAAAAACCATTAAAAATTTGATAATATTGTAAGATTACAACTCATAGTTTACAATCGGAGAATAGTAACATTAACCATTTTAAAACAAACTATGTGTAAAACTTATGTATTACACGTTGATTAAAAAAATTAAAAAATTAGAATGTAATAATAATTATTTAAAAATTTGAAATAAAGAATGGAGAAACATATTAATTGCAATTTAGTATAATATTTATTACATTTCATATTTTACATATATATAAGTAGGAGTAGGATCAAATGAGAACACCTAAAAGGTTGAGAACGCGAGAACAAATCTAAGCCTTCTAAAATTTAAAATCAAAGGTTAATATTAACGGGCCATTTATATAAATTCTGAAAGTCATAGGATTAAACTGTAACTTCCTAGCCACTTCTTTGTAAACTGTCAAAGAAAAGGGAAAACCACTTCTTTTCCTTTAAACCCTAATCGATCAAGGCAAGGGAAATGAATGAAGGAAGACGGCAAGAAGGAAGCACGAAGGCTCGCAGGCGGCACGAGTTTTCATCGATCAATTCTATTGAACAGATCGTCTACGGGGGTCGACGAGGCCGAAGGGAAAGAAGATAGGAAGAAGCAACGATGAAGACAATATCTTCGTAAGGGAGAGCGAGGGGTGAGGCCAGAAGATGTCCGATAAGCAGTGACAGGGTCGCAGGTGGGGTTTTGGTGGGTATTACTCGACCATAGAAAGTGTGAGGTGCGATGGGGGAAACGATCAGCGATAACAGCTTTGGTGACGGTGGTTTTGCAGTGACGGTCGACGGGAAAGAAGGGAAAGGGTCTCCGGTAATCTCCTTGCACCCTCTTCTTTGTTATTTGGTAGCTAACACGAAGGATGATGAAATAGGCAGAAAAATGGATCAAAAGGGTGTTTGTTTGATTTTTTTATAGGAAAAATAAGAAGGAAAATGGGAGGGTGTTGTCTCTATTATTCACCGGAAGAAAACTCCTTCTCCGGTGGTGTCTTTGACAGTTCACGAAGAAGGAAAAGAAGGAAAAGAAGTGGTTTTCCCTTTTAATCGGAAATAACATATTAAGGTTAGTTGATTATACTTTTTTCTTGGTGGATTTTGATTTCGGAATCGCAGGAGCAATTTGAAGAATAAAAACAAAACACATTCTTGACAGAGTGGCTGGGAAAGTTTGTGAATTGCCAATTTTCTCCAAACATCATTGATTTGTTTGCAGGTCTTCACTGTGGCAGATACTCTAGAGTTCATCATTGATTATTTTTGTATCTTCAACTGATCCATTATACAGGTTGCATGGGAAAGTTTGTGCTATGCCAATGTTACATTACACATACAAAAGAAAGCGTAAAAAGGGAAAAGAGTAACCAATGAGCAAGAGGGGCATCATTGGATTTGTGTTACTTCCAGCTTTGTATAAGGATTATCTTTAGTTGTGGAGGGCGTATTTGACATCGGGTTCGTTGGTTTTGTATGGGACGATTGGGATGTTTGCTGAAATGTGTGAGAGAGCTATTCATTTGTGAAAAGCAGCGTATTCATTAGTTAATAACAATATATTCATTTGTAAATAGCAGTGTAATCATGTTTGAATAAGTGTATTTATTTATGATTAGATGTATTCTTTTATTCATTTGTGAATACCAGGTATTCATTTGTTAATAACAATGTATTCGTTTGTGTGAATAAGAGTGTTTATTTATGATTAAATGTATTCTTTTATGAAGAAATGATAATTTTTACACCTCTTTTATTGTCGGTTGATTAAAAGAAAGGTGGATTACTTGTAAATTGGTATATATTCATTTGTGATTGTAGTAGTATTAGTTTTTTTGAAAAAAAAATCGTTTATGAATACAAATGTATTGATTTGGGGTGGGATTTATATTAATTTTTTCGAAAAAAAAACATGAAATACGAGAAAAAAATTAAATGTTTTTAGTTAAATTTTTTTTATAAAAATGTTTTTTATATTTATTAATAAGAAAAATAAAAATTAATATTTCCTTCTTTTTTGGTAACTGGTCCTAAATTTAAGGGAATTTGATTGATTTTATTTTATTTTAATTTAATTAAAATATTCAATTACTAATATGACCTTATATATTGATTGGTCCATAACTGTTCTCGCGTTCTCAATCTTTTAGGTGTTCTCATTTGATCCTTTCCCTATATAAGTATAAGTATTATGTGTCTTTTTAATTTTTTATTATTTTTTTTATAGAAAAACCATAAATTGATATGTGGATATTATTTATTTAAAAACTATCACAAAATGACAAGTATCAAAACTCATTAGAAATTAATATGTGGCAAAATTATGTTAATTTATTATAGTAGATAAGATGTCTCTTTAATGGTCTGAATGAAAAATATAATATATATGAATATTACGAACGAAAAAATAACACATAAATAGTCGGAACAGAAAAACAACACATCAATAGTCAGAACGAAAACAGTAACACACTGATAATTTGATTGAAAATAAAAATAAAACAAAAATTATCCAAATGAAAATAATATATTTTTAATGTCAACAACAACAACAACAACAACAACAAAAACAATAATAATAATAATAACAATAATAATAATAATAATAATAAAATATTTATTAAAAATAATGAAAACCAAAAAATAAAATAAAAACCGAAAAATAGTTCAAATGAAATATATATATATATATATATATATATATATATATATATATATATATATATATATATATATATATATTATTATGTATTTATTAAAAATATTAAAAACAAAAAATAACAAAAAAACATTAAAAAGGAAAAAAAAAAAAAAAAATGGGATAAGATTGTAATTTGATTATGCATAATTTGGGGATGCATAATAAAAAAAACCAAAGATAATTTGGGGATGCATAATAAAAAAAACCATAAAAAAATCTACTCTACTAATAAACAGTACCAATACAGCCACGTGTAACCTCCTTGCGTCCAACTCCATTCATTTTCCCGCTCAATAGTGTTAACTGAAATTACCACTTTGCCCTTCCGTTGAAACAATACTGCAAATCCGCCAAAAACAGCAAATTTGATTTTCAAAATTCTAATTATCAATTATACCATATTAATCTGCAACAAATTAGGAATAAAATATGAGCTAAACTTTATCTCTATCCCAAATAATCAGTCAATCGAATAACAATCCCAAAAAATTAGGCAAAGTCTTCCTAATTTGAATTTAAATATATGTATATACACAAACACCTACGTTCCTCTTTCAGTACGAATAAGTCGATTATTCATCGTCTGGTAAGGGATACTACATTGTTTTGATTTTGTTCTTCATATATCGATCTTATACTCATCGATCTTATACTCATTTGTTTTGTTTTTATTCTTCATATATCGATCGTATACCAATCGCCTTCTTTTTCTGGACTGCATAATCAACCAGGTTTACCTTTCTTACGTATATTCATTCTGTCTTTCTATGTTATATAATTTCTGCTTCTATATATATTTTACTATTTTACTCTTTCCCCTGCATTCCTGTTTCTCTATAATTATAGTATCAAATACAACAAATAGAATTAGTAAAATACTATTTGGTTTTTTCTGTTTATATATTCTGAATAATAAAACTTCTGTTATAGTCTATGATATAGGTTTCGATTTTTTTTCTCATTATATTATTTTACTTTCAATGCTTTATACATATGTTATATATAACTATACTTTCTAAACCTCACAACTGTTATACAGATTTTTAAACGATAATTAAACCATAATGTGACCTCATTATCAACTTTATTTACTATAGAAAATACCATAATGCCCTTAATTTAAAAACAAAAAACTTAATGTATATTGCTATTTATGTATTCTGAATAATAAAATCGGCTACTTATGTATTGTGAATAATAAAATGTGCTATATCAATCAATCTATGCCCTTAATTTGAAAACAAATAACTGAATTTATATTGCTATTTCTACTTTTTTTTTTGTTTTTTATGTATTCTGAATAAAAAAATTTCTACTATAGTCTATGATATAGGTTTTTATTGCTTATAACTGTCATCTTACCCTTTTCTACTTCTTTTACGACATTGGCCCAATTATACATGAGTAAAATAACATTTTCTTTTGATCTTATAATGCAACATGATAATTCTGATTCATTCATTATTGGTTCTTCAGATATTGCCTCCCAAGAGACCAAAGTTGTGAAGGTTCTACTTTTTTAAATATAATTTTTAAATATTTCAATTTAATGTATAAGAACTAACTAAAATTTATTGTAGGATTCTTTTTCACACACAGGTGAAAATTTAACACCGTGTGCTAGGGACAACTCAACTGCAACAAGTCCTACAAAGTTGTTTTCTACACCAACTGAATTAAAAAGAAACCTTGCTACATGCATAGATCTTGATGAAATGGAGAATTTGTCTACTTCTAAAACTCCTCGGTTGTCACCACCAGATGAACAATCAATCCCTCTTTTGGTATCCAAGAAAGAAAAGTAAATGCACTTTACTTCTACAAACAATATTACTTTGTGCTTAATTTTGTTTCAGCATCATAGACTCCTAAGCCGTTTACATTTTTAAGTTTCTTTATTTTAAGTTGGATTTATTGGAATTTTATGATTTTCATATTCGTTTCTTCATATTACATTGGCTCAACTTTTTCAGTACTCTAATGGCATTTACTATGTTATTTTGTTTCACGTTTCTGAACATCATATAATCCCAAAATTATTATTCACTTAACAATCACGCTACCCTATTAAAATATTCGTCATTGATCTTAATTTTGGTCCCCATTTTCTTCTTACCTTTTATTCCTTTTGGTTTGTTCATTATGTAATTATCACATGTCACTTGACTTGAATGTGCAGAATTTGATTCATTTTTTAAAGCATAAAGATCTAAAAATTGTCAATTCGTATTAATTATATACTGCATATTATTTGCACAAAGTCTGTTTCATTCTCTTTTATGTTCTTATTGCATATTAGAAGGATACCAACATACTTTAGCTTTTATGCTAACTTATTCTATTTTTTTTGTTTTCTAGCATGTCCTAGGTAGAAAGAAAACTCAAAATATGTTCATTGGCTTCATTTATATTGTTTTTTTTTTCATACTGACAGTAAAAATGAAATAATAAATATTGTTTTATGCTACTAACCTTAACATCACCAAATAATAAATATTGTTTTATGCTACTAACCTTAACATCACCAACTTTTGTTACTAGCCAAAAGTATTGCTCTTTCAATAGTAAACAAAAAATAAAAAATAAATGAAAAATTATAAACAACACAAAAAATCAAAAAGGAAATCAATAAGAACATGGTTTGGCATGCGGAATTAAAGCTTGCACAATTGAACATGGTGATTTGGGTGTTTAAGAGATATATTGAATGTATATGGTGTTACACAAAAAGGATCTAGATCTAGACTACATAATTAACACACACTTACACACTCACTTCTACATCTCTCAAAGCACACCTCTGCAATTTCATCATTTTATGACCCCATTTGCGAAGTTGGACAACTTCTATTATTTCTTGAAAAGAGCAGGGACCAAATGCGAAATTCTTAGCTTTCTTCCCCAATTCGCATTCTACTGTAAAATTCGCATTCTTCATTCACCCTCTTTCTTCGCATGTTCCAGTCATTTTTTTTTTAGTTCATTCGCATTTGAGTTGTTTGTCTCACCAAATGCGAAATGAATATTAACCATAATCACCTTCGCATCTTTAACCCCAATCAATACAACCTCATATGTGAAACCCAATTTTGATTTGTATTACCAAATGCGAACATTTTTGCTTTTACATGTGAACTGCATTTGACTCCAATACTGAACAAATCACATTTCACAGTCCTTCTTGACTTCGCATTTTTCTTCACGAATCGTCCCTCAATCATCAACCCAATTAACCCAATTGCGAATCCAAAATCAAAACTTATCTGTTTTCATATGCGAACCCAACTGATTGGCTTTTCAAAATCAAATTCGCAACTCCAAATCGTTCGATTATTCGCCCCAATTCCAAAATCAAATAACAGATCCTTCGTATGATTCATTCAATAACCAAGGCTTCGTTCCAGAAAACATCGACTTTAACAGTTATTTGTTCCCACAATCTTTAACCTCCGTTTAAAATCGATCCCTGTATACAAACCCAATAACCAATCGAACACATACCATTCGAAAACAATAATCATTACACCCTTCAACAGATTTGACATCGCATTTCAAAACAATCGATCTTACTTCATCTGCTTGATATAAATTGAAGTCCAAACTTATTTTCGCATAACGAAATCTTCAAAACAAGTTTCAATCAAAATTGATTTTATTATGTAAATTCGACTTCAATCATCCCACTCAACCATTGAAATTCACTGATCAAGAATAACACCAAATCAATTTTGACTTTCTTTCTTAAACCATTGACTGTTGAATACTCATCTCACAACAAAATCACTAAAATTCGATTTTCAATTTTGAAGATTCGAACTCATACTCCCGCTTTCGATTTTAATGCAAATTTGAAATTCAATTCTGAGTAACAAACGTTTGATGATGTCAAACTAGAACTCAAGAACAAATCGATCGATATCAAAAACCAATGGTACAACAAAGTAAAGCAAGAGTACAAGTCAAGTGATGAAATAATGAACATATATACTTATACAAGTTTAAAACCGACATCTTTACACTATTGTAACCGATTTACTCAAAAAAAGACCATATTGCCCTTAAGTTGAAAGACTAAACTAACAAAAGTTGAACTGTTGTAATGGTTTTATTTCTTTTCTTACTCACCAAAACACTACAATATTCAACAATTAAACTAATTGGCTTAATATGTTACCTTGATGAAAGAGCATAACAACAAACAACACACCTGGAAAACAGTGTAGCAACAACAATTTCTGCATAACTCTTCTTCTCAGATGGAAGACAATATCTGCAGCTATTAAATGTGATGTTCATATTGTTTTAAATGTTGCTTCAAGTGGGATTGCTTCATTATTATTGCCTGGAGGTAGAACAACACACTCTCGATTTATAATTCCATTTGAACTAACAGAGGATTCTGTTTATAAAATAAGTCGAGATGGTGACCTCGCTAGGTTATTGAGAAAAACCTCTTTGATAATTTGGGATGAAGCTCCTATGGTCCATAAGCATGCATTTGAAGCTTTAGATCTAAGTTTGAAAGATGTATTTAAGTCTGAAAATTCTAGCAACCCAGATATTCCTTTTGGAGGGAAAGTTATTGTTTTTGGAGGAGATTTCAGACAGATTCTACCTGTTATTCCTGGTGGAAGTAGACAAAACATTGTTAATGCTTCTTTAAGTTCTTCATATTTATGGGAACATTGCAAGATCCATAAATTAACAAAAAACATGAGGCTAACTGTTGGAAGGGATCAATCTGATATAGAAAAAATCAAAGATTTTGTAGAATGGTTGTTGGATATATGAGAAGGCAAACTTGGTGGTATCAACGATGGTGAAACAATTATTGATATTCCAGATGATATTCTCATTGATGATCCACATGATCCTATAGGTTCATTAATCGACTTTGTATATCCTTCAATTTTGGAAAACTACAACAATACAAGTTATTTTCAAGAAAGAGCAATACTTGCTCCAAAGAATGAAGTCGTTCAGGAAATAAACGATCGTTTGTTATCGAAGTTTCCAGGAGATGAGGTTGAATACTTAAGTTCAGATAGTATATGCCAATCTGAATTTGTCCATGATCAGTTTGATGCAAATTTATATTCACCTGATGTTTTAAATGGTCTAAAGGTATCAGGTTTACCAAACCATAAGTTAGTTTTAAAATTCGGTGTTCCAGTTATGTTGCTGAGAAATATTGATCAGAAAAATGGCTTATGCAATGGGACAAGACTCTAGGTTATATCATTGGGAAAACGTGTTATTGAGGCGCGTATCATATCTGGAACTAATATTGGAAACCGTACTTTTATTCCAAGAATGTCTTTAACTCCATCAGAAAAGAAGATTCCCTTCAAATTCCGAAGAAGACAGTTTCCATTGGCTGTATGTTTTGCAATGACCATTAATAAGAGTCAGGGACAATCATTATCGAAGGTTGGTTTGTTTCTCAAACATCCAGTGTTTTCACATGGGCAATTGTATGTTGCCTTATCTAGAGTTCAAAGTAGAGATGAATTAAAATTATTAATTTTAGATAAGGACGGTGCCCTCAGCAATCAAACTTCCAATGTTGTTTATAAAGAAGTTTTTCAGAATTTATAAACAGTGTTTTTGTACCATATTTTATTTACTTGTAAAAAATAATATTTCATCCATCATATTAAATAAACAATTTAAAACACTTTATTGCATTTCATTTATTCATATAAATTACAATATCACTATTCTTCACTTTTTGTAAACTTTGAAATGTTTTTTTTATTACACAAACAAAATGAAAATTATAATTCTATTTCAATTTATCAACCGTGGATTTCCACGGGTTTTAACCTAGTTGATAATGTTGTGAGATTATAACCCACCGTTTATCATCAGAGAATAGTAACATTAACCATTTTCAAACATAATAGGTGTAAAACTTATGTATTACACGAGTTGATTAAAAAAATTAAAATATTAAAATGTAATAATAAATATTTAAAAAATTGAAATAAGGAATGAAGAAACATATTAATTGCAATTTAGTATAATATTTATTGAATTTCATATTTTACATATATAAGTATAAGTATTATGTGTATTTTTAATTTTAATTTTTTTTAATAAAAAAACATAAATTAACATGTAGATATTATTTATTGAAAAACTATCACAAAATGATAAGTATCAAAACTTACTAGAGATTGACATGTGACAAAATTATCTTTTTTTATTATAGTAGATTAGATGTTATTTTAATGATCTGAATGAAAAATATAATATATGAATATTACGAGCAGAAAAATAACACATAGATAGTCGGTACGGAAAAACAACATAGCAATAGTCAGAACAAAAAAGAGTAACACACTTATAGTCAAAATAAAAATAAAAATAATCCAAGCGAAAAGAATACATTTTTAATGTTAATAATAATAATAATAATAATAATATATTTAAAAATAATGAAAACAAAAAAATAAAAATAAAAAACAGAAAAATAGTTCAAATGAAAAAAATAATATTATTTATTTATTAAAAATATTAAAAGCAAAAAATAACATTAAAAACATTAAAAAAAAAAAACAGATAAAAATGTAATTTGATGATGTATAAAAAAAGAAAAAAAGACCAAAAAATGGGGTCGAAAGATAATTTAGGGATGCATAATAAAAAAAAACCCATAAAAAAATTGATAATATTATGAGATTACAACTCATGGTATATCATGGAAGAATAGTAATATTAACCCTTTTGAAAGATATCACATGTAAATTTCGTAAATTTCATGTATTATATGATATGGGTTGATTAAAAAAGTTAACATATTAAAATGTAATAATAATATTTAAAAAAACTAAAATAAGAAATAAAAAAACATATTAATTGTAATTTAATATAATATTTATTACATTTCATATTTAACATATATAAGTATAAATATTATGTGGCTTTTTAATTTTAAATTTTTTTATAAAAAAAAAAT